TTTTTTTTTTTTTTTTTGAACTAAGTATGGATTGTCATTGTAGTTTTACTCACTGTTCAGGTGCTGCTTGATCTCAGTACAATGGAAATTGTATGTGCGTAAATGTGGTTCCATGTATTTTGCAAGATTGACTATCATCTGTATGTAAAACCTAAAGTAACCTTTTATTGATGTTAATTGAAAAAAAATGTCTTACCACACTGTATCGATCCTGCTTGCAAAAATATTCCTCTTAAAGCGGTTGTTTTCTCCAAAAAAAAAAAAAAAAGCAAAACAAAAAAATTCTGTGCCTGGCTTTCTCTTGCAGCCTCTATTTTCATTATGGTGGCGGCACCTGCTTGTTTCTAGAAAAACTTAAGAACGAGTTAGTCCAGACGAACCCAAATAGCTAAATCTCGACCTCAGTTTTTACCCCAGGTGCATTTCTCTGCTGTTAAAAGATTGCTGGTGTGAATGATCGCCTCAAAAATCAGGTCTGTTTTGAAGGTGCAATTCGGAGAAGCCCAGTCCATCACTTTGGAAAAGAAGCTCAGTGTCACAATACCATGTATCACCACTACATTCCACATATTGTAGTTGAAGACACCATTCCACATTATAGCTGACAGTCTGTTTATTCTGACAATGCTCCAATGAATTGAAATAATCTTATGTTTGAAAAAAAAAAAAAAATCATGTCAGTTTATTATTATGCTTGATGAAAAATGCAGTTAGTGAATGTGGAACGAAGCCTGTCTGTATATCAGGTATCTACTTGCTTTGTTTTTACTGACAAGTCTTATGGCTAAAAATTTGCTTCTGTAACAGTCTATTACCCAGTGCACACACGTGGTTGTGAACATTTAGAATAGCTCTAAAAAGCAATGACGAAATGGAGATAAACAATGGTTGGTGTAATTCTAGCTTTGTGTTTATGTATCTTAAAACCATTCTAGTTTCACTATACATGTAAGAAATAGGAAAGTGTCAAAGACCATTCAGTGAAATAAAGTTTCGTTTAAGATAACAGGCAAATTACGTCTTCATTTTTCTTCACAAGGAGTATTTTCTTAATTAAATCGTGGCGAGGATTTTTATTTTTTCCAAATAAAGATCGCAGAAAATCCACTAAGATTCGTGTGACAAGTCTCCGCCCTCCCTTTGCCACCAGGGCCGGGTTTTATCGAGTTTTAACCCCTTTCTTGTGCGAGAACTAGTTCTCATCGCGGAGTGACACGCAAGAGCCCTCTCACAAGCTTAATTGGAACAGCGATGCGCGGAGGAGCGCGGCAGGTGTTCCACGGCCATAATTAAACGAAAACAACCTCCCGCCCTTGTGGAAAAGTGATCGGCGCTCACAACCTGCTGCAGTAAAAGTCATACCTCAGATTTACGACGCACTGGCTATTTAAAACCTGTAAGTAACGTTGATTTGAAGCGATAATCCATCGGTGTGTTTAATTGGGATTTGGCTGCGTCACCTGCAGCAGTGTTGATGTGAAGTCCACAAAGAAAGGGTGTGAGTTGAGCTAACTTGAGCTAGCTCTACAAATGTGTGTTTTGTTTTTTTTTTTTGTTTTTTTGCCAAACAAATAATTTAATATTTTTTGAACTTTTAATGAATTTGAATTCCTCTTAATTCAGAAGCCCTAGCTTGATATGTTTATTGAAGCTATGCTATTAGGGGATTAAACTTAATTAAAGTTAACATTAGCCACACCCTTTCTCTCTTGACATGTTTCTTTTCCATATGAAGACCCCCATTAACCAGACATTCACTCAGTTACCAGTTTATTTGGAGCATCTAGTCAAAACTAATGCAGTGTTTAAATCCTATCTTCATCATTTTTAAGTTTTTGTTTAAAACTGCTTGTAAAAAAAACTTCAGGATCATTTTGCAGGATGTATTTTGTGGATTATACAGAGAGATGTTTGTGTTATTTACTCCACCCTCATTTATATAAAGGGGATGGACCTAATAAACTGCCGATTGAGTGTATACATCGTCCACGTTTCATGCCTACCTGCATTGTGATTTATAGTAAAACAAATCTTAACCAGCCATATGCACATTATAAAACCTTTTTCCAAGCAGGGACTAATCTGAGATTATTTTTTTTCCTACTCTTTGCAGTTGGATGAATGCACTTGTAAGTTAGTGAAACTGTAGCTTAGTAGCAAACGATCAAACAAAACCAGAATAATAACTCTCATAAAGGTAGAAATTGTGGCAGAGCTGCACGATGTGGTAAAGACAACAACAACAACAACATTGCGATTGTTTTGACAGATAATGCCATTATGATATGATTCTTGATGAATGGGAATGAGCATTTTAGCATCACAATTTTCATTTTCACTGAACAGTTAAAATCATGATGTGACATTTGTTGGGTCTTTTCCAAACAAACATGTTGTTTTTTTTGTTTTTTTTTGCCATATTGTGATTTCAGTAACGTTGAGTAATTATGCAACCCTAGCTATTGTATAGGTTTACATTGGATGTAACTTGATGTACATAATAAACTGGCAACTCGGAGCATATAGCCTTTGTGTGTAAGAATGTAGCTTTTCTCCTGTTGAACTTTTTAATCTGGAACAAACACAAACTCTCTATTCAGTAAGGACTGCTCATAACTCTTTTCTGTCTTGAACTAGCTGTTACCCAAGATGAACAGCAGCAGTGGACAAGCGTATCCCCTCGCTTCTTTGTATGTAGGAGACCTGCATCCCGATGTTACAGAAGCCATGCTCTACCAGAAATTCTCTCCTGCTGGCCCCATCATGTCAATCCGTGTGTGCCGGGACATCATCACCCGCAGATCTCTGGGATATGCCTACATTAACTTCCAGCAACCAGCTGATGGTATAGTACTTATGTGGGCCAAGTTAAAACTGTGAAAATGCATTTTTTTTTTATCACTGTAATAATTAATTTCAATGAACCATAGCATAAATAAACTCACTGAAACGTGTAACCAAGTGCCTTGCTACCTGTGACTATGATTTTCTCGCCCTGGACAGATAATTAATATATGATGTAAAAGAAGAAACTCCCTGAATTTGAATTGAATTGAAATTGAATTGAAAGCCTTTATTGTCATTGTACACAGTACAATGAGATTTGGAGAGCAGCTCCGTAAAAGTGCACACATAATTATCACATACATACATATACCCGCTGTTAAAACAACGTAAAAAACTTAATCAAGCAAAAGATGCTCCTTTTAGGTCATTACACAAAATCTATTTTGACTGGGTATTTGATGTATATATTTTATTATATATATATGTATATATATATGATATTATATAAATATAGATATATATATATATATAATATATAAACACATACATACTTACATTACCATTACACTATATATACACCCACAACAACATACACACACACACACACATATATATATTTTGTGTGGGTGTGCGGGTTTAATCCTAGATTGAAAAATGGTCATTTTCAAACTCTATCATAAACTAAACAGGTGAGATTGTCTCCCACCAGGGGTTCATTACTGGAAATACTTCTTGTTTGTTCATGTAATGAATTGAGCTAGTTATTTCAGCTAATCCATCTGCACGTCATCCCCAGGAGAATCAATAACATCAATTATTCTAAATTCCTTTTTATACCGCCTCCACCCATCGGAGCCTGACCCTTATGGCCTGTGACAGTTGTGGGCACCTCCACGCTGCACGGAGGGGCCGAAGCAAGGAAGCGACTGCCGAGGGTGACAAACCCACTGGCACAAAAATAATATTCGGGGCTGCCCTCTGCCCCTCTTTGACTTGCCATCTACAACTTTCCCGTTGTTCTCAGGCAGGGCAGAACCATCCTTGAGGGACACCGGCCCACCCCGGGTTCCCAACTCTTTAAACCTGTATGCCCAGGCAGGCGCTTTCCAGGTCAATACGGGGCCAGACCAACAGACTCAGGGAGAGCTTCTCCCCAAAGCGTCCACCATTGACTCAACCAACATTCAGGGATTGGCCAGCTCAT